GTTCGATTTTGGTTATCTTATGGTTGTTGGCCGAGTGCGAGATTTGGACAGTTCTGCATACCGTCTGTTTCATTTGAGTAGTGGATCCTTTTTAATCTCTGAGGCGTTCCTTCTGGCGCATGGCATTCCATTGTAAACTCATCTAGTCCAACATGCCAAAATAGTTCATCCTCGAAATTTCATAGATGCATCCGCGCAATGAAGGAGGACGATCAATGACAGGTTAGACTTCAGTGAACAGTAAGCACGGCCCTTGATGGTCTTGAGCATAAGCCGAAGACGAGCTAAGTTCACCAACGCACTGACACCAGCCGAAAACTGGTGCCGAATTAGGATAGGAACCTGAGCACTGAGCAACCCATTCTATTGGACCAACCAAATGAGCACACTTTGAGACAGAAGACGTAGCTGGTTGTTTCCCAGGGTAAAAACCCTAAACAAGTTTTTTCGGGTTTCCGATAAAAGATCAATATTGACTGATTTTCATGTTTGCATCAGCGAAGTGGGTTTATCCGGTTCACTGCCCCTGGGTATTCTATTGAAAACAGCACTTCTGAAAGCCAGTCATACCTCTACTTCTTCAGTGAGGAGAAAAACAGGTCAGTTCCAGTTGAACCTACCGTCGCTTTCAAGATGTTCCTGTGAGAGATACCTAAGCAAAAACAATGCGTCAGAAACTGAAAAATCCTCATATGGATATTGGAAAAAGGAGCGCCAGGATGGCATGTACTTTCAATCATTAACCCTCTGTCCTGTACTAATTATTTGAAGGAATAAACGCATTAGGATTGAATCAGTTGCCAGTGGGGGTAGGGAAATCTACATTTTAGTTAAGGTGAAGATTATCCAGCAGAACTGACTGTCAGTGTTGCCTAATTCCATTGATATTTATACATTCAGGCGTGTACGTGGCGCCGTTCACGTACTTCGTGAGGCTCAGCACTTGCTTAAGCGTACTAGAGAACAATGCACAAAGTGGTTCACCATTTAAGGTAGGAAAGAATCCAGAGTTTCATCCTAGCCCATTTAGTCGACATGGGGCATGTCGTTATTCGGAACACTGCATTTCGGGTCGTGCATCAAGTGCCACAAAACGGATCCCAAGTGTTCACCAGGTCATAGTTTTCACATAAACCAATCAGCCGTGTCAGATGACACTTAGCTCGACTAGCACTCAGATTTCACTACCCCCCCCCCCCCCCGCCACATTTCCTTTACTGCAACTGGTTAACTTTCAGTAAGTTTAACCCTACATATGACCTGTACCGGTCACAGAACACGTATTCGCTCAGCCTTCACTCTGCCAACACCTTATGCGTTTTGGATTTCGTTGGTGATGTTCTATCTCACTTACATAAACTCCAATCTGAAGTTGGAATGTCGCTTCCAGAAGACAAATAACCATTGTACTGGCCATGTCGCATTGTTTTGTACTCATCAACTCAACTAAGAACGCAGGCGACATACTAAGACGTGTACCATCCTAGCTAAATTCGACGGATGAATGCAGAACTTCCAAGCAATGTCATCCAAAGTATCGCATAGGGACTGCTGACATGAATGAAAGGAATCCATTGCTGAAAACGTTTCCGGCGTAACTGTACCTTGGGATGGCTCCACGATTCGTCTCGCCCTTTCAATTCTGCGTACGGTTGTTAATAGAGTTGTGGTGAGAAACATGGTCGACCCATGATATTTTCCCGGAGTGTGTGAAGTTAGCATACCGAATCAACTTGTGACGAACAATGTAAAGCAATGATGGAGATTTACCCTGGAGAGTTCAAGAATCCCTCCCCCTCGGGTAGTGTGATAGGATGAACCGAATAGCATTCGGAATTCCACAAACAGCTGGAAGTTAATTTTATCCAGAGTTGTTGGTGTTTATTGTGTGTGTGTGTACGGACAGTCATAAAGGAGAATCAATGAGCACAATTACACTTAAACTGAACACGAAACTTGGAACAAGATGTGCCAGTTTCTTGCCGTCTCGACCTGCCTGTTTTCATCCGGCATGTAAGACCGGCAGATCTGTTTAGGGAGGGTCCCGGAATAGACCATCGCTGATGTGCGCCACCACAGAAGCTTATTCATCTTGGACGAGGCACTTAGTGTTTACAAATAACTCGTCACCGCCAGCGCGCTTCGCCATCGTCGATTCCACAAATAACCTCTACTTCTTTCAAAAAAAAAAACAAGAGACTTGATTTTCTACGAACCATCCGCGGATCATCAAAATTGTTAATCAACTATTCCCTGCAAATCCCATTCGAAACTAAGCCCGCAGTGACAAATGTGAATCAGATCCTAGAAAAGGCCGACACTTTCTATCGCCTACGCCCAAATTGGCGACAAACTTTGTTCGCCTCTGTCGACTGCGGGAATGTTACATGACCTCAAATAGACTTCTCCCACCACTGGACACGTCAGACATGCATTACTATGCGGGCAAATGAATGACATTGATTTACTATGTGCCTAAACCGTCAAACCAGTCAGTAAGCGCCGTCACATCATGGAAAATGAGATCCAAGAGTACATCGAGGACCGAACCGTGCGACGCCAGACAAACATTGATGCAACGAGTCCATGCGTGGGAAAACGCTTCAAAACATGATCCACCCAAGGCATCATCAAGTCCATATTCCGGCCACTTGTGGTCAATAGAGTAGAAAAGTCCGATGCCAAATTTATTGGCATTATGGGAGATAAAAGATTTTCCAAGACAGGCACTTTCAAGAAAGATTGTCTTGGTTATCAAGAATGAATCGTATCTTCTGTGTATATTGTGTATTGCGGTATCCCCTGATGACGGGTGATTCGAACACCAAGTAATACCGCTGAATCTGTTTGATGGCGCTTTCGGTGCTGGTAATCTCGACTACAATCAACTGCAATCAATCCTACAAAAACACACCCAGAGCTTGTACATTTCAAATAGAGCTGACAATGTGGCTCAACTCAACTGAACCACTCATAAACCCTGACCATCATCTGCGATAAACACCCCCATTCTATCGACAAGCTGGTAAAAGAGAACGAACATAGCGTAGTTTGAACGAGGCCAGTAACTCTCCCGGGTTTACGTAATATTACGGATGCTCGTGACTCGCCAAACCGGCTCAATTTACTGTCAGACTGGATTGGTGTTCTTCGCGTTTTCAACAAGAATTGTCTGCTCGATCCGGCTCTTCGAACACTGATGACCGCCCCCAACGTTCAAGAGATTCGTGCAAATCATGATTCAAACTGAGAGCTGAGTAAAAGATGGACACTCCTGTAGACGATACCTCATTTTTCCACACCATAACGGAAACAATCCGGCCTCGTCGTCACCCAGCCACATGACCACATTTTCTGACAGAAGGTCAAACACTCGGTCAAACCTATAACCAAGTGTTCGCCACATGTCAAGTAGGTGTAGTCGGCGGATTACTGAAAGGACCACACCGGAGGGGAAGTGCAAAGTAACAACTATGGGTATGGACATGAATCAGTGTTAGTATTGTGCTGGTGACAGGGCTAGGAACATTCACCTGATGTGCAAAACAGTGGCTGCACTCAAACTGGGGCGAAAGTCAAGTGCCGTAAACGGGACTTCGTCTCACAACCGGGTCATTGTCTAACATCGAAATCAAGCAAATGCCTTCATGTGAAAAAATATATCTTCTTCAGCCAACTAAGCGATAACTCATGTAACTCGCCCGGCGACAGTTCTCTCGCGATTGGCTCCCGCAAAATTCCAATAAACTGCGAGGTGTTTGCTTCGTTATGCGCGTTATGCGAATTACACTGTTCGCGCCTCAGAGATGATCTCTGCAGGGAAGCATAGAACAGCCGTTCGGAAATCAAAATCTGGGTCGCATTAGAAAGGGTGAGGTTACACGGAAGATCGCTGCACAGAGGCATCGCTGTTGGCGAAGCGTTGAATGTGGAAACTTTCACAATATGATACTGATCAACCAACAGTATGACTGATGACGAACCGGTCTTCGTGAAGTACATGAATCAGCTCTGGACTGTTCAGACTTCACCAGTGCGGGGCATTTCTTCGATGGACTTCCCTCTGTATTCCGGGAAAGTAGCTAGCCCGTGACAAGTGTGCATTTCAGTTTTCAACCCTCTGATAGGATCGTGAGTTGAACTTTGTGGACCGTAGGTGTTAGCAGTAGGAATTCGGCACACGATGAGTTGCAACTAAAAAGCAGCCTTTCAGAAAGATTTAAGGAGAGCCAACAAATGACTTATGAGTCATACACTGCCTGAGGTAACCTCAGTATCACAATGTAACTATAGGCGCGTTACACAGCACTCCCAATAATGAGTTTGTATGCGGGCAGAAAAATTTGGAGTTAGCCAGATGATCAAACGACTAATCCAGCCGCACAGTCCGTGATGGGATAAACACATCTACCCAAGAAAAGTATGCGCACAGCTTTGGTCAAAAACATGAGGTTTGGGTCAACAATACTGATAGTAAGGCAGAGCCACATGAGATTCTGATACATCACTGTAATGAACTACAAGAACGACAAAACGTAACAAAATTACTCAGTTGAGAGTTCGCCTTGTCACTGGGGTCGATCTATGCTGAAACCGGGAACCATCAGTAGTGCGAATCTCACAAATTTTACAGAGTTTTGAACCCGTGGCCCTCATTTTGTGAAATTATGCTTCGTTTGAGCCAATTATAGACTGATGGTGGTGAAATTTGATTATTTTCGATGGAGATTTCATCCTGTTAGTGAATTCAATCTGTGCGGAAGAACCTAAAAGAACTGTACAGTTGTTTCTTATGGGGAATCATCAGCATTGCACATCTTGAGAAATTCATAGATTCGAACCCGCGACCTTCCGGCCAGCAGTTAACACTTAACCATCAAGGATAGACAGACTAACCGCAGATATCTGAATTCGCAGAATATCGGTGGTACTACCAATCGCTGTGCATAAAAAAATATCACGCGACAGTAAACTAATAGAGAAAACAGTGCAATGGGTTTATTTTTTTCAGGTGAATGAGTACCTGGACTCTTCGTAATCCAAAGATGTTCAACTATAGGTTGTATTAAACTAACAGATTAAACGAAGCAATGTACAACGAAAATATTTACTACATTCCTCTTCGATGACTGCAGAAAGACCAGATTCGGCAAGGATTGCCGATGAGATTCAACTACAGCAAAAGTATTCTTCATCGAAGGGCCACTTTGAATACCCTATTTGGGGATGAAAGCCCTGAGTACATAGATAATCTGCTGTACAAAAAATTACACTCCCTTGGTGTGGGAAACAACAGCATGAATATGACCCATACAGGGATGAAGTTATTCGGTGGGAGCATCCAAACAAACAACGTCCGCACAGGAATCCGCTGGTCTCCGTGATAACGAAGGATGACTCGCCTCAATGGCTTTAGGTGGCTCTAAACGCCCGAACTGGTGGAGGGGCCACAGACGAAAGAGTACACGATATTCCAGGTGAGATAGTGGAACTGGACCGTATGTGCGTGAGTCCAGAGAATGCACGCTGTTATCGCCCTCAAGCCAGATGTGATCAGCTGGAATCTGGAAGCCGAAATATGTAGATAAGAGAAAACTGTTCAGAATGGTAGCATAGGAGAACGCAAGCGCACAAGGCGGAAATGCATTGCAACAGTGATTATATTGAAGTTGATCCTCCGCATGAACGTGTGGTTATAAGAGATTGGGAAGAGTTCCGGGAAATGCTTGATGGGAGGAAAAGAAGCTAATAACCCTACCATCATATTTTGGGATATCAGCTGTCGGTTTGAGTGAGTGAAAACGAGGTCTCGGAATAGGGTACCTGGATGTACGACGTAGGCAGTTCTCGAAGGAGAGAAGACGAAGGTCGAACTTTTCATCCTCAACTCTCGCAAAAATTTAACCGTTTAGTGAAGAAATGGATCATATTCTCCGACCTGCGAAGTTCGATGCTCATCTTCACTGGTCGGACCGACGAAACGACGGGCTCATGGGTTCCGTACTTTCAAAGCTTATATGAACTCAATGAAATATGAAAGCCTGCGAATAAACTGGAGACCTTGTACGTCACACTGACCATACGGCGTACAACTTCACATACCGACTATGATTCTGCGATAACTTTGCTGGAAAACTTTATATTTGTCCAGAAAGCATGTATACACGCTATCTACAAACAAGGACCCGGTCAAGATGCTGACCAGTTCGTCAAGAAATCGAAACCACTTGTTAAAGATTGTGAATTCAAAGCAGTATCTGTTGTGGAACACAGACGAATTAGTCCGAGATGGCTTGATAACCGGGAAGCCGCCCGAGCTCTCAAACTTGCACAAAAACAGTCACAATCTTACCTACACGGACACACTGCTAATTGTTCTATGACTACATATTCGTCATCTCTTGAGGTCAAAACAACGGTTTCTGTCGTTACACAACAAATACGTTACTTTTGTGGGGAACCCCAAGCACTCTCCTAATAGGTTCCTAGTAAAGAAACAGTATGCAAAATTTGTGGCGAAAATAGGGCATTTGCAACGCGTATGTAGGTCAAAAACCTTGAAATATCAGATGGGTTCAGCTCATTATTATTCTGTGCCACTGCTCTCAACAGCCTATCTCAAACTACAACAGATGTTTTGGTCAACTGCGTTGATTTTCAAGCTCTTGTTGATACCTGCAGCTTCAAAGTTTCATTTCTTCATCAGTCCTACATGTTCACAACTGGAAAATATTTCCGCATCATTCTGTGATAGCAAAGACTTTGACGATACACTCATGTTCCACCAAAGGTTAATGCCCTGTGTCCATTCAGTACAAGGATGCTATATATGAACGGTTCAAGCTTTGTGTTTTACCGAACCTCTGTGCAGACGTTCCTCTTGGATATGACTTCTTGGGCTTATATGACAAAGTTGAAATTCCATTCAGTTGTCAATGGGGCACCCTGTGTGTGGCGCAACATCCCCCAAAATGGAATCCCCATCTTTATTAACTAATGTTGCTGCGAATTGTAAACCGATCGCTACAAAGTCCTGTCGTCATACACCGGAAGACGAACAATTCATGCTAACCGAAGTAGACCGAATACTCACCAATGGCAGAGGCGAAGCATCAAATTCTCCTTGGACAGCACAAGTGCTCACAACGCGCAGTAAAAACCACAAGAGACGTATAGTGATAGACTACAGGCATAACATCAATCGCTTCACCTATCTTGACGCTTATCCTTTACGGAGACTGGATCACATGAACGAAACCACCGCACGTTATACCATATACAGTGTATCGGAACCCCAGAGAGCATACCATCAGGTTCCAATAAACGAGTCAGATAAGCCGTTTACTGCATTCAAAGTTGGCGGGAACTTATACCGGTTTCGGCGCATTCCTTTCAGAGTGACAAACGGAGTTGCGTGTTTCCAACGAATGATAAACAATATCACTAAAGCCAAATAAGTGGAAGACACGTTCACCTACATTGATAACGCTGCTGTACGCCGTAAAACGAGAGTGGAACATGACCGTAATCTTAGATCTTTCCTCGACGTTGCTAAAACATACATTACTTTGGACGACATAAAAAGCAGTTTCACAAATGAAGAGACTACTTTTCTGGGTTACAAGGTCTCCAATGGTATTATGAAACCGTACCCAGAATGTATGCCTCCTAAAAGAAAACCTTCGATTCCACAAAACCAGAAACCTCATAAAACAGCCGTGCGTCTGTTTGCCTACTACTTACAGTGGATACCGGTATTTCCAGACGAAATTTATCCTATAGTTAAAAACGAAATACTTCCGCTTCCGGAGTGTTCGAACAGCATTTAAGGACTCTAAGCACGAATTGCAGAATGCAATGGTCGTTGCTGCCGACTACAGCATCCCTCTCTTCGTCGAATCTGATGGGTCCGACATCACTTTTGGTGCATCCCTGAGCCAGGGTAACTAGCTGATCGTTCTTTTCTTCAGGACCTTGATCGCAAGCCGGAGAAACCATTCTGCTGTCGAAGAAGAAGCATACGCAATCATTTAAGTGATTCGCAAGTGGAACCACTATCTCCACGAAAGGCATTTGAAACTGATTACGGATCAATGTTCGGTTGCTTTTATGTATGAGAACCAACAGAAGGGTAAGATAATGACAACATTGAGTAGTGGAAAATCGAAGTGGCGAGGCACAACTACGAAGTCATCTATAGACCAGGTACGGAAACCAGATCA